ATATATATATCATATTATGGCAGAAAACAATTCTCAAAACCAACTCAGAACTGACACAGATGTAAGAATCAGCAGACAAAGGCATTAAATGACCATTATGAAAATATGTTCCAAAATTTAAGGCAAGACATATAGGGCATAAAATAAGATCTAAATTCAAGTTCTAAGGATGAAAACTACAGATGAGGTGAAAAATACACTGAATGAAATTAAAAGCAAATTATACAATGCAAAAGAAAATAATTATTCAAAAGAAAAGAGATTATCACATTAAAAAGCAAGCATATTTAAAAACAAGAAAGAAAATAATTTAAATCATCTTAACAGATATTAAAAAAACTTTGATGAAAATCTCACATCATTCCTGTTTTTAAAAAATACTGTCAGAAAAGGAGGGACAGAAGTAAACTTTATTGACCTAATTAAGGGCATCTCCCAAAAAAAGAAATTCAGCTAACATCGTAGTTAATGGTAGATATCTAAGTGCTTTCCTCTAAGACCAGGAATAAGAACATCCAAATTCACTACTTCTGAAATAAAAGAAATAATACATAACTCCCAACCTCCTCAAAGTCAGATACACTGAGTTCATGTTCCCCAAAATGGAATAATGAACTTTAAGGAACAATGGTTACTTAGTTGGTTAAGAGTAGGAAATATGTATTGAGAACGCTAGTTCCTGAGAGACAGGAGGGGATCCTAAAGTGGGTTGCTGAGGACTCCACTTCATAGAGTAAATTTTATAGAGCAAAATCATGAGGTGGTTACAATATGAGTCAAAACTAGGATCAACCAATAAGATTACAAGTACAGTCTCTTAGCTAATATCTATCCAATGGGGAAGCAGGTCATATAGCAAGTGTACATGGAAAGAACACAGACTGTTTTAGGAAGAGATGAATCAGGAGGTCCTGATCACCCACCTGGGTGACCAATGTCTCACTAGCTTTTATTGGACCAGGTAATACCATTTATAGTATACTGTTTATCCCTAGGGGAGGCATGCAGGCCTGGTCATTCCATTTTTATTTGAAGACTGGCCTTCAACCAATATGCCTCCAGCTAAAGTTGTAATGTGTTTCCATCCTCTGCACTGGGTTCTTGAGGGCCTAGTCCTGTCTGATTGCCTATAATATTTTTACCTACTTAGCTGCCTATAATACTTATAAGCAACCCTATACTAGAGGTTTTCATCAGCACGTTAGTTCAACAAAACAGAAATCTCTTGAGTTGGAAAAGAAAAACTGAAGCTGTCTTCATTCATAGATCTGATAGTCTTTTTTGAAAAGCTATTAGTGGGGCTGGGGATTTAGTTCAGTGGCACAGCGCCTGCCTGGCAAACACAAGGTGGTGAGTTCAATTCCTGGTACCAGAAGAAAAACAAACAAATAAAATAAAATAAAATAAAAAGCTATTAGAACAACTAAGTACATTTAATGAGACTCCAGAACATAGATCAATGTAGAAAATTGTATTTTTATATAATAGCAAGAAAAAATTAGACACTACCATTTAAAATTAAAACCATTTATAACCAAAAGTGTAAATAAGGACCAAAATGTATAATAGATATTGTGAAATTGGAAGAAAATACACAAATGAGAAGGGAACTAGTGGTGAGGAGGGAGGAAATGAAAAGAAAAAAATGAGAAAGGAAGAAAAAATGGAAACAAAGCTTTTGTAAATAAAGAGGGGAAGAAGGGTTGAAGGGAGGATAGAGGGATGGGAAAAAAGGGAATCAAATTATATCATGTACAAGCACAAATTCCCTATGATGAATGATCATTATGTCTATCTAAAATGTACCAACAAGCTTAATTAATTAAAATTATATAATATTTAGGTATAAATTTAAAAGAAAGATTTGTAATCTGGTGCTTTCTCACAAAATCTGATGTGAAAAATTTGTACTTTAAAACCTATTAAAAAATTATTGAAAGAAATTGCATGAAACCAAAATGAAGGGAAGGACATTCTGTATTTATGGAAGATCTCAAGGGCACTTATCACCAAGTTGATTTTAGATTTAATGTCATTTTTGTCAAAATTCCAGCTGGCTTTCTTTGAAGAAATTCACAAGCTGACCCTGAAATTAATAAAGAAATGGAAGGAATACTGAAGATCAAAAGTGGTATTGCATTTTAAAAAGTGGAATTTCATTATCTGATCTCTAAATTTACTATGAAATTACAGTAATCAAGATAGTGTAATATTGGAATATTGTTGGAGATGTACTTAGGTCTCATATACAAAACTCATTACAAATATAGTCATGTACAAACTCATATACCAAAAAAAAATTTATAATAATATCAAGGATACAAAACACAGTATTTAAAGATAAACCTCACAAAAGATGCACAAGATCTCTACACAGAAAAGTAAGATCTACTATGTTTATGGATTGGAGGACTCATAAACAGAAAACAGATCCATGGTTACCTGGGGAACTGGGGTATGGAGGAAATAAAAGTTTAGGAAATAAGCTTACAAAGAAACATAAGAGCACTTTTGGCGGTGGTGGAAAGTTTATTATACTGATTATACTGATGGTTGTACATGTGTAAAGCTATGTCTAAACAAAGTATACATTTTAAATATATCAATATATCCACAATAAAATTGCTTATAGAGTCCATAAACAAAGCATAACCACTAACAGATGTAAGTTATAATGGATAAATTTGAAACTATTGGAGGAGAGAGAGATAAAACATATAATGTAACAAAGCACAACAAGGAAAAATGAAATGAGGAAAAAGGAGGAAGCGTAGTAAATAAGACATATAAGATTGTAAAAATATGAACAAATAGGTAAATAATCACAACACATGTGTATGATTTAAACTTCCTTAGTAAACATAAAATTCTAAAAACAGTAAACAATAGTTGTAGCTTCTAGATAGATTCTTTACAGAAGGTATGCCTAAGATAAGATCAGTAAACGAGTTTCACCTAGAGAGACATACAGTGACAGACTATAACCACATAGGTGTGTGGTTCAGATTTCCCATCGGTAGAAAACTTGCTATTCCACTGCAAGAGTACAGTTACTGATGGTTTGCACTTGATAACACCATCAGGATCCATTTCAGGTTTTGAGTCGGGGCTGTGCTCTATCCAGGCAGCCCCCAGCCAATGACTAATCTCCCAGGGGTATCAGAATGTCATTTCCATACATAAAAGACTCTACTTTGCTCCAGAGCTCCCCACTGGTTTGGCTAGGGCTCGGACAATTCTAACATTGTACTCTAGGTTCTTCCTTCTCGATCCTGGTTCCTCTCCTCTTTCTTTTCACAGTTCTCATTCAGATCAGCATTGCAGTCTAAAGGCTTACCTTGCCCTATCCTGCTTCCCGTGCCCTTTAGTTTTTCACAGGTGTACTTTCTTTCCCCAATTAATCTTCAACAGCCCTAATTCCATCTCAGCCTCTGCTTCCTGGATGCCTGAACTGGCATATCTGGTTGTTAGAGTTTGGATACCATAAAGCCTCACGTGTTTGGAAGGTCTGGATTATGAGGGCACTGTACTTATCAATGGATTCGACCACTAATGAGGTCATCAGTTGAGTGTGCTGTTGGGAAGTGGGGCTGGTCAGAGAGGCGGTCCCTGGGCTGTGAGTATGAAAGCTGCATTCCTTCCAAGGCTCCTCCCTTCTCTGCTTCCTGGCTACCATGATGTGAGCGGCATTCCTCTGCAGCCCTTTCTTCCGGGCCCGTCCTGACCACGGATAGAAACCATGAACCAACAGAAACCGCTCCTCTATTCAATTGAAAGTGTTGGATATTTTGTCCCAGTGAGGAGAAAGTAACTAAGGGAGATATTGGTCCACTCTCTGGCTTTTCTGATTCAGCAGAACTGGAGCGGATTTCTGTATAAATATTTTGTTTCCCCATATGATTCAAATATTCAGCCTTGTTTCACTTTCATACTTTTCCATTTTCATACAATTATTTCCTGCATAGTATAATGCTTACACTTTCAAATTTATTAAGTGTTTTTAGCAGTACTGAGGATTGAACCCAGGGCCTTTGCACTGAGCTATGTCCCCAGACATTATTTTTCTTTATTATGTTTTCTTTAAATTTTGAGACAAAGTCTTGCTAAGTGACTAAATTACCCAGCTTAGCTCAAATTTGAGATGTTCCTGCCTCAGCCTCCCAGAGAACTGGGATTAGAGATGTGCAAAACTGCGCCTGGTTTCTGAACTATCTTGAAATCTTTTCTATGGTGTTATGTGCTGCTTGAACATTATGAAGTTAAATTGTAAGTGCATTTTGTTATTTTTAAGTAATATTTAAACATACAATCTTGGTCTTAGTAATTACAAGGGTCATCCCAGCTAAGAATGGATGAAGAATTAATAAACGTGAAGGACAGGGTTACGATGTCCACTGCACACACCATTCAGTAATACTTAAGTGAAGAAACTTAATGGATTGAACTGGGGTTGTGTAGGGTAAAGAGCTCAAGTCCGAATAGTTCTTTTAAAAATACTACATGCCACATGTCAACATATTAGTTTTACCTCCAACATAGACTTAAGAACTCCCCTTAAAAATAAAGCCTAAAATAATTAAAATGTCTGGAGAGGGGAAAATGTATTAGTAAGACAAAATAATTGTCTTAAATTTCTTTGATAGCACAATCGAAGAATTACTGCATTTTAATTTGTCATGATGAAAAATCTTTTAATGTCTTTCCTGCTATAGAGCAGTCTTATTTTTTCATACTTTTCATGACTAACTAGTTTTTGTGAAATTAAAAATTCCCCATATACATCTTCTCAATATTTTACTCCACAGAAAAATGTAGGGGAGGGTCATGTCATCCTACAGCTGTTCTCTTAGTGTGTAGAAACCCCAAGTCCTCTGTAGTGCATATGTAGCTATGTATATAATCCATAGATATCTATTTTTGGAAATACACCAGAGTACAATGTACAACATAAAAATACACAGTTCCAACCGGTAACATCTGCAAAACCGTTAAGCATTGAATATCAACATTTCCATAGAGAAATAAGGATCTCAGAAGAAATCTAACATTTTTACCCATATGTTCTTTCTCTCTCTTTCAAATTCAACAAAAAACATAAATCCAGTTTTATTAACTAGTACAGTTCTTATAATCTTACATCATATTAGCCAACTGTTTAATTAAAAGGAGAAAATGGCAATCAAGGAAATGAGACTCTTGCAGATATCAAAGCAAGGCACAATTGTGTACTGTTGGAGAGAACGTAAATTGATACAATTTGACATACCTATCAGTAATAAAAGTGCATACCAACTGACCTGAAAATTTCACTCAAGGAAATTATCCTACAATACACTCAAACAATGCAAAGAAATATATCCACAAGAAACGGTCTACTGGGATTGTTTCTACCACAAACAAAACAATCTGAATGTCCATCACTGGATCTATAGTTAATTAAATTATGACATAGTCCTAAAATGGAATTTTACATAGCCATTAGAAAAGAATGAGGTAGCTTTTCTTGTGTTTACATAAAAACATCTCTAAGACATTATTAGCTTTTTTATAAGTACTGGACACCATTACAGTATGTTCCTGTTTGTGTCTTGACACATTTATATACATACAAACACAAATGTAAATAGACATGTAAATGCATACATATATCATAGGCACATAAACATATAAAATGTATGTAGAAATTTTCTTAAAGAATAATGAGAAACTGTTGACGATTGTCCCTTTGACAAAATTATTCATTGAGGAAACGGTTTTCATTATTCACTGTATTGCACACTTTGAATATTGTGAGCATGTGCTTCCTTGGTACAATCACAAGTTCTTCACAGAACTAGCTAATAGCAGCTAAGACTAAAATCCCCATGGTAGAAGGCACAAATGCAAATCCACTAGAATGTCTTTGTCTTCCAAGAAGCTTTGCAAAACTAACTTCAAAATGGGTTTTCCATTCTAGATCTGTAAGAAAATTCAAAACAGTAATTGTAATGTATCTTGATTCATTTTTCCTGGTGTTAGATCCCAGTAACTTATAAAGTATGCAGGCCTTTGTGATCAAATTCACCTTGCGATACCAGAAACATCTTTACCTTGCTCACAGTATCATAGAGTGGGTTGTTCTTCTCTGTGTAGCAAGCATAGGGCTGCATTTCATCCTAAGAAGGAACCAAAAGCCAAAAGCAATTCAGAAAGGAGAGAAACTATTGTAGAAATCATCTGTGGTTTTCTATCAGTACATACAGCTTTAGCATCTACTAATAGTGCTGGTATTTGCGACTCTGGTCTTATATGAACATAGAACAAGGCTTTGTCTTCACAGCTTATAAAAAAATACTTGTGGATTACTTATATCTGTGAGATGATGGTTGTGTGAAAGTAGAAATGGGGAATAATGAAGTGACAGAAGAAGAATTTCAAAAGACAGAGTGAAAGGTTTAGTAAGCAAATAGTTATGAGAGATAAAGCAGCAGGGTATGTTTTAAGCTTTCAGTAAGAGGAAAATGAAAAAGGTAACGAAAAATCAAAGTCAAGAATTAGAGAAGGTTTCATAGAGGAGGAAACGCCAAATCAGTTTCTCCAAAGATTACTGTCCAAGTAATGCAAATGTTATGTAATTAGGATGAAGTTTGAGATGAAAGTGTGGATTTGAGGTAATACATAAATAGCACTTGATAGATAAATAGCAAAAGAACTATCCCTAACTATTAACACTGTAAAACCAGAATTTTTTTAATTTTTCAATTAAAACTTTAATATTGATGCAAATTACAAAAGGCTAGATTTTCAGATTGTGTTTTGAAAGTTTATAAATTCCTTTATCTTATCTTACCTCTTCAACAACAGAAGTAGCTGCTGGTTTCTTAAGCTTACATGGCCTATAAAAATAAAATAAACTAAAATCAACAAAGGAAACACCACTGTTTAGAGAGAAAGTGGAAAAAAACCTGTATTGTTGAACTTTACGGTTCATTTTGAAAGCAGCCCTATTAAGTTAGAAATAAACTACCAGAAATGAGGGAATAATGCTGCTTGTGGTTAATGCACACCCAAATAAAAAAATTCTGGATATTGGAAAGATAAATAAAATTATGCAACAGGAGCTTGATGTGATAGAATATTTGTAACATTAAATAAATTACTGTAATTATTTCCCAAATAAAAATATTAGTCTGTACAGTCTTTCCCAAGATTCTGACCTAGCTGACCCAACTGACCATGCTTGGCGGTCACATTAATCCAGCAAAATCACCTCACTAAAACCAGTCCAGTCCAGAACAAAGATACTTTTTGATTATGCAAGAACTGATGTTAGCATCCTAATTTACCCAGTCACTCCCTTATTTCTTATTCTTCTAGTCTGGCAAAGCTAAAAGAGAAAAGACATTAATCATTCAATACCTGAAGCTCTTGGTTTTCAAGAACCAAACTGATCCCACGATGATCAAAATAATAATAATGAAAAGAATGATGTATGTAATATATGCGCCATTTGATTTGGAGGTACCTGTAACCATAGACATAAAAATATATGGTACACATGTGGTGAGTCAAGACAATGGAATATAATTCTGTGCAAAGAGAAAAAATATCAACTCATGAAAAGACATGGATGAAATGAAATGCCTATTATTAAGTGAAACAAGCTAATCTGCAAAGGTTACAAGCTAATCTGCAATGCCTATTATTAAGTGAAACAAGCTAATCTGCTTATTATTAAGTGAAACAAGCTAATTTGCAAGCTAAACTGCAATGCACAACTGCAGTTCTAGGACCCTCTGAGAAAGAAAATACTCAGATGACAGACAGTAAAATGATCACTGGTTGCCAGGGTAGAAGGGAGGGATAGATAAAAAGGTGCAGCTCAGAGGAGTTTTATAGCAGTGATACAGTTTCATGTGATACCACGAGGGTGGATACATGTTTTTATATAATTGTCCAAACCCATAGAATTTACCCCACCAAGAGTTAATCCTAATGGAAACTATGAATTATGGTGAGAATTATGCATCTACAGGGGTTCAGTGATTGTAGTAAACATAACACTGAGGTACAGGATGTCCAGAACGGGGAGGTGGTGCCTGGCTGGGCTCAAGGGTTTATTCCGAAACCAAAATATATATGGTTCAAGGAGGTCTCACAGTACATGAAACTCATTCCTGTCAGTTTATTTTAAACATTTCTAAATTGTTTTATCGGTTTATACCCTAGCGTTCCCAGCAAGACTTCATCTCAGTCAGGTTTTGCTGCTTTAAGGATTCATGAATGATGAATTCCTGTAGGAGATATGTGAAACTCAAACTCCATTGTTACAGTAAGAACAAAGGGTTTACTCACCTCCAACATCAGAAATAAGTAGGTTATCATAGCGAAGATAATTGGAAAAGTAACTAATTCTGAATTACCTTTCTGCTAAGGCACTGAGCTAAACTGGATGCTTGGCAGTGGTAGAAATTATCTATAAGCTGCTGGCCACAGCAAAGCTCAGTCTAAGTGCACAAGTCAACAGAGCACTTGCCAACCGCGCACTGGTGCTCCATGAAAGTGGCTAAAGGGCCGCAGAAGGGAGGGAGGGAGAGAGAGGCTGAGCAAGCTTCTGTCCAGTCCTTCCACCTGCTTTTAAATCCTGCATTTCAAAGTATTTTATTTTAAAAGGTTTGGTTTTATTCCTAATCTACATCAACATTGTTTTGAAACTTTCAAACTACTGAATCTTCTCTCGCTGGGTCTACAAGGAAGACGGAGGAAATCCCAGCACTTGTGGGAGTTTGGACTGCAAGGTCTTCCAGCTCCAGAAGTCTATAAATGTGACATCGTATTGTAA